AAGCAGTTATGTTATATAGAAGACAAGGCACACGTACTAAACTTGATTCACTTGATCCTCTTGGATCTTCGCTATTGGTCAAGTAAGTGAACCGACCAATCGCGAAGTGGATTATGTGGATAAAGTTTCGCGTTTCAAAGAAGGATTTAAGAGGATTTTTTGATTAAACACTCGATAACACGTCTCCTTTGCTCGGAAAAGCTGCTTTGCAAAATTTTAGAGTTTTACAGTAATTTAGGAGCTTGTCAAACGAATGCGTGAAGCCGACATTGACAAAGCTGGACGAAACGATTACGAAGTCGATTTTGGTTACCCGGTTGATGGCAATAATGATGAAAGTGATAATGAGTATGTTAAGTTAATTCACTTAAGTGAAATCATTACAGTAATTACCTTACAGTTTGTTCCTTTATGTAAATGAGACTCTGTTCAAGCGACCAGTTTACGCAGTCCTGGTAAATCTGGTAAACAAAGGAGTATTCCAACATGATGTTAGCTTTATTTAGCTTCCACTTTGTTTTCATTTCTGAGAAACGGTTACAGGTTTGCGAGTATGAACGGCCACTGGTAGGTGCTCGACGAGAACAGCTTCAGACTTTACTTGACACTTGGACAAATACTGAAGTTTTCAAGTTAGCTTATGAATATTTGAACAAGAAAGGTAATTCTAATGTAGTAAATTTTGATATTATGGCAGGCATCCGTAAAACTTTAGGAGAGAAGCACTCAGACAGTTTTGAAGGACTTAAAGATTTTCTTTTCGACTTCTGGTTTGGCACATACTCTCGCTGCTCAGGACGAGCCCAAGGAAGCTCTGGTAATCAAAAAAAATTTCTAAAATCTCAAAAGCGAGAGATATTACCTCTTCTAGGATTCGAACATGTTTTTACTGGAGAATGGAAGAGAGGTAATGTTGGAGGACACCACAGCTGGGTTACTTATTACCTGGCACAGAAAAAGAGGCAGATTAACTATCACGGATATCACACACAACGCGGAGTTCGTTTGTCAACTCTCATTACTGAATAACCAAAAATGAAACTTTAATTTAAGAACCTCACGGGTACAATCCAGTATGACTGGAATGGATTTTTCAAGAAAACGGGTGGTTTTCTATTCGGAACATCCCCGGGTAAGCTCAACAGAACCTTCGATGATTTGTACGATTTCCTTACATAAAAAGAACTCCTTTCATTACAGCATTCGACTTTGCCTTATTTACTGTTTGCTCG